GTATATTCTAACAACTATTTGTAAGTAGCTAATACAAGGTTTGTGTTGTAGAAATTAAAACCTTAAATCTAGATTCTGGCTCATAATTAGACATCAAAAGATGTTTCTTGCCTGCCATGCTTATCTAGTAGTAAACAAGGTAGGAGGGGGAATTCCATATTTTAGGGGCACGCTTAAGCTCATTTGTGGGAAGGGATATCCTTATTGCTTTGGTACCAAGGCAGTATTCCTTATAAGCCTTGCTGGACCATATGACACAACAGGGCCAAATTGACCACTGGTTGGGCTGTACGTGAGATGATTTTTCATCATTCTTTTCAGCTGCAAGAATATGCAGCAAATATGTGAATCGAGTAGTTGGGCTTTTCAGAATAAGGGTGCCCAAGCTGTAATTTTACCACATAGCACAAATCCTTGGATGTACTTCAGTAAGTGATGGAGGTCAATATAGCATTCATCCAAGCTTGCCAGCCTGGAAGTTGTTTGCCAAGTGCTCTGGGAGAAGAGTTTTCTCCCTGTTCTCCCCCCGTATTCACTGAAGAAGCCTCCTTCTCAGGACAAGCCCTGTGAAAGGCTATAAAATGAAGCAACACAAATCAATGTGTATACAATACTTTATTTTTCAAACTGAAGAAGCCCACTTGCTTTGCTTCATGCTTTATTGAAGCACTCATTGAAAGTGTTGCACAGCTATAATCAGTATAAACATGATAGAAAGCAAAGATGGGAGTGATGTAGGTGCTTTTGACGTGTACAATTATAAGGGTTGTGGGTTTGTTTTTGTTTTGTTTGCTTGTTTTTTTGGTGCCTTCAATTCAGTTTTTGACCCCTGGCGACTGCCTGGACAAGTCCCTGCAGTTTTCTTGTCAAGAAAGTGGTTTGCCATTGCCTTCTTCCTAGGGCTGAGATAGTGACTGGCCCAAGGTCACCCAGTTGGCTTTGTGCCTAAGGGAGGACAAGAACTCACAGTTTCCCAGTTTCTAGCCTGGTGCCTTAACCACTACACCAAGCTGGCTCCCTATTTATAAGTGGTAGAACATATAATAAATTGGCCTGTATGCGTATAAAAGGAATTGTGTCATTACAGTATACATGAGATAATTTTAGTCCTAGTTGATGTGTAGGTATAATGAGCATAGAATTTGCTTGCATCTGGAGATATATTTTTCTATTCAGCATGCATCTGCTGGAGACTTTAATTGTGAGATGAGAGATTCAGTGTGTTTGCCTGCATGGTATTGTCCCCAACATCGAAGAAGTCCCAATATCCTGAAACACCCAGCAGCTAATTTTTAAAAGTTACTTTATAAACCTCTTGAAAAGAGAACAAAGCATGCTATTATTATCTAACCTTATATCGTCTCAGTTTGCTCACTTTTCCCACAGCTCTGACTTAAGCCCTAACAAGTTATTGTAATCACCATTTTCAAGAAATTCCACACATCCCAGGACTTCAGGTGATGCCAAGATGTGACAGATTTTTTTTCCTCAGATCTTTTCTTCCTGCAGGAGGATATGGTTTTAATTCTTTTGGTTTATTTATCTATGACAAAAGTGTCTCAGAAAGAATGAAATGAAATAAATATATGTGACTTATACTGGTTACAGTTCAGAGCAAAATAAATGAAAAGCTTAACCAGAGACTGACCATTTGTGAGAGGAATTTAAGTCTGCAGATAATAGGTCAATATTCTTGTTTATACCATACCAGGAAACATATTCGCTATGCTATTTTAGGAATGGGAGCGCCTACAAAAACAGGAAAGTCAGTATGTCCTGTTTGGAAAAGGCTTTTTGAATTTTAAAAATTCATTCCACAAATCTCAACTGACACTGTCAGTATGGCTAAACTTCTGACATTTTTTATATCATCTAGGTGAATTTGTGCCAGAAAATTATTGGTCTGCAAGAATTAGATAACAATGCTGAGGAAAAATGGAAAGGGATATAAAAGTCACTGAAAACACAAGAGATTGTGTCAGAAAGAAACAAAAAAACAACTTCCTTCTAGCTATAATTCTTTCCTGACAGCTGTCTAGTGAATTCTTGCTTGGCACCTAGCCTTGGTTCACCAATATAGAATAGGAATGAGCAATTGTGGCATCCAGAATCTATCATTCTTTGCCAGTTTGGCCAGTGGTGAGAAATCATGGGAGCTGTAGCCCATCAACATTTGAAGGATCACATGTCCATCCTGATGTAATATTAAGTTGGGGGGGGGGTCTGCTTTCTAATATACTTTTGTTGAAATGGAGTGTAGCATTCAAGATGGCCTATTTTAGCTGCAATATATCAATGTGGCTATATATCAATCTAGTCATCTGTGATTGGGAGGGAAGCAGAGGGAAAATTCTAGGTTACTGCACTACGTCTTGTGTATGTTACTGGCACTTTGCAAATTATTACCTAGCAAAACATAATGACCTTTCTTACAGAAGATTTTTCTCTGGCACTGACTTATCATGAGTTAAGTGCTATCCACCCAGCACACAGTTATATTGACATGAAATGTGCTGTCTCTATTGCTGATGTCTATCCTGCTTCTGTTGCCTTTATTCCAATCCCTGCCAGGCACCTAAGTAATGGTGACATCAAATTTTAAACATAGCTCTTAATACAGATAGGAAAGGTGTAACAGATGACTCCCATGACTGGAGAACAGCCAATTATTTGTTTTTTTTAATTCATGTATTTATTACAGATCTATCCCATCTTTTATTAAAGGATACAATTTGTGCAAAAGAAAGAGGAGGAATTACAGTATATTGTATGTTTAAATATACATTTGTGCTCAGAAATCCAAATGAATGAACTTGGCAGTATTGTATAGCATATCTAGATGTATGAACGAATAAAGTCATTCTGTTGTTGGTGTCTACCCTTGCCATCCCATCCAAGGAGAAAACATGGGTGATATTTTGCAAAAGCAAATTGGAACACACGGAATCATAGTGGCAGACTAATTAGCTAGACATCTGTAGAGAGATGGTCTCTGAAGCATGATCCTTCCAGGAATTTTTGACTTGTTAACTTTCTTCATAAAGTAGAAGACACAAGAGGATTAACTGTCCTTGACTCGATACTACAGTACTAAATAGGGAAGACTTAGCTGAGGAAGTAGAAGTAGCAGGCAAGCTGAGTGAAAGTGATCGTGTAATGTGGAGTTCTTGATTTTAATAAAACAGTGTAATGCGACATGCTTTTTAGACTTCAAAGCTGAGAGCAATGATAAATAGGATTCCCTGGAATGACAATGCAGTCAAAATGTGTGGAATTCCTAAAGATGATATCAGTCTTTCGAGGTAGACCAGGTCAAGGATTACAAAAATGCAACTTTATTGAAGGTTATAAAAACAGAATCTCGAAAGCCTGCCAAGAGTTTGTCTTTGCCTCTTCTCATACAGGATCAAGGCAGGGTTATTTTGAATTTCTTATAGTTTCCCCTTTCCCAGGACCAAATTGTCATTAACAGCTCTTGTATTCCTTTTCCAAAGGAGATGTTAAAAAAACAATTGTAAACAATTCCAGTGAGATAAAAGTGAAGGAAAGCAAAAGAAGCTAATGTGGCCACACACACACACACACACACACACAGAGTGAAGGACTGAAAACAATTTTTTAAAAACCATACAGGAAATGGGAATAGGGCCAGATCATGAAGGAAGAGTGTAGACAGATTGTCTGATTCTGTAGAGTTGGTGCCAAGAAAGCAAAAGCTGGGATTTGCAAAAAATGCTAAGAATAACAAAAATGGCTTAAGTATATGCCAACTAAAATACAAAGAAAATAATTAGTATACCAGCTGTTTAGTGAACCCAGTAAAATGCTAACAGGTAACAATGAAAAGGAAGTACTTCTCAACCCCATTGTAGTTCAATCCTCTCCATACCTCCCCCCCCCCCCCAAAACACCCAGAAAAGCGTGATAGGCAGAATGGAAAGACAGAATTCAGTACCAGCTGTTTAGTGAACCCAGTAAAATGCTAACAGGTAACAATGAAAAGGAAGTACTTCTCAACCCCATTGTAGTTCAATCCTCTCCATACCTCCCCCCCCCCCCCAAAACACCCAGAAAAGCGTGATAGGCAGAATGGAAAGACAGAATTCAGCCTGAGACTGATAGAAACATAGCAAGGGAATGTGTACTTTGAGTTTAAACTGTCAGAACTACATACTGTAAATTGGATCCTAGAGTACTGAAGGGACTGGCTGATGGTCTGGTCCAACCCATATATTATCTTAAAAAAAAATTGGAAAACAGGTGGCAGATGTCTGGATAGGAAAGCAAGCATTTCTATTTTCAAAAAGGGGAAGAAGGCGGCTTCAGCAGACTATAGTCAGTCAGTGTGATGTTGATACCTGGGAAGAATCTAAATATAAAGAGATTGATTTATAAGCACCTTGAAAATAACTGACACTGCACTTTAAGAAGGATTCAGAGAACAGCCATGAAAATGATCAAGAGACAAACTAAGCCCTCTAAAGACAGAAGAAGTTGGTTATGTTTAGCCTTAAGAAAAAAATGACTCTTGGAAGGATATGGATGATAACACTTTTCAAATACCCATATGGATGTCACATATAAGAAGGTCAAGATTTTCCTTTCATTACAGTGTTCAGGACATGTAAAAATGGATTTAAATTACAGGAAGGTGGTTTCTGATTGAATATTATGAAAATTTTCCTAATAGTAAGAACAACAGTGGTATCATTTCCTGAGAGAGAATGGTGGGATGTGTTCAGGAGGAGGCTAGACAATCATCTGTGTGGGATCTTTAACTGGATTCCTGCACTGAGCAGGAGGTTGAGCTCAATGGCCTAAATGGCCCCTTCCAATTTTATGGTTCTATAATTCCACCATTTTTAAAACTATTTTCACAGCACACTTACATGGTTGCATGACCGTGAAAAACCATACAATTTATTTTTAAATCTACATTTCTGCAGATCTGATGAGCTTCAAATGTAGTTTTCGGCCATTGTTTAAAGGCAATCTGAAATGGGAGCATGACTAGAGATGATACTATAACCAGGTTAATTGGATCTCATTGGAGGCTGCATTGTTCCAAAAATCAAACTGCATTCCTACAAGCTGCCATGGACTAGGAAAAATACAAGTAATTTGAAATGGCAATCTGATTTTATTATCCTTTCTCAACTGCAAATCTAGAGAATTGGTTTGTAATACATTGGTGGCTACCTATACTCATCATGACAGATGAATCTGCATTCCAGGCCTTCCAGAAAAGAGAAGCTCCATTGCCAGATCTGGATTGCACGCAAATGAAAAGGTTGGGGTAAACCACTACTGAGTGCAACAAAAGTCAGATTTCTCCTAAAAGAAGTTGTGTGTTCTACTCATGATTGACAGAGCATTGCCAAGGATTTAATTCTTTCATTGTGCAAATCATGCCATTTATTTGCTTAATAATGTTATATTCTGCCTTAAGTATCAGAATTTCTTTTCTACCTGGTAGGTCATTCTAATGTATTAATTATAGAAATATACAAATTACATTTCAGATGCTACAGATATAATACAGCCACTTCAACTTCATCCACAGATCCTCCTTGCCCCAGCACAAAGATACCCACTAGCCATTTGTTGAGGACTCATAAAGTCATCCTCCAGCAGCCCACTAGGGCAGCAGTTTTCACCCGCCTTTCCTTGCTCTGAATCAAACATGATATTTTCCAACTTCTGCTGGCACAGTTTATGTGGTCTGTTTGTGGCATTTCATTTTTTGGCATGCAATGCCCCAACTCCTTGGCTAGGCTATGAGGTTGGGGATATGCCTCCTCCCTTCCAGTCATTGATAGCTGCCCTCTATAAGCATTTTGTCTTGGGCCACCAGACTGTCCCTTTTCAGAAGGAACCTTGCCATGTAAACATGATCATTCTTGGGTCTTGGCTTTACCTGAGAACACCAATGCTTTGGACCACCAGTTCTGTACTGGTGAATACCAAAGAGTTTTAGGTAGTGTGAACAAATAATGTGGTAACTGCTTTCACATGCTTGTCCCTGCCTCTCATTCTACAAAGGCAATGAGCCAGTGCCATGTAAATGCAGTGAGCCAGTGTCACTTTGCCTACTTTAACACATTTTGTGTAGTCCATACTTCCAGGAGCTACAGCCACTTGCTGCCAATGTTCCTTTGCAACACACACCAGTTTGGGATAATTGAGAGCTGAGGAGAACTTGACGAGTTCTGCCAATTTCCTCTTCAGCCCAATTGACAGGAAGAACTGTAAAATTGCCTATCAGTGTTCTGTAAGACTGGTAAAAGTCTGTCCAAAAATAGCTCAGGTAACAGGTCAGTGAGCTGGAGGAAGGCTGGGAGTTCCACCCACCACATATTCCACTCCTGACACAAGTCTATTTCAGGGGAAGAACAATGTTAACTGCTGATCCGGTAATGTAATGCAGTGCTATTCAGCCAGCCCCTTATTTTCCCTGTGTCTTGGATTATCCCACCACTGTCTGCCCTGCAGATTATTGTGACAATAGGGGAGATGAAATCTGGGCTATTATTAAGGTATAGACACTGAGAGTTTTCCTTGTGCTATATTTAGTTTCTCTTAAAAGGAGAGATGAGCTTCTTGCTCTGAACGTCTGAGAAAATATCTTGGTGAATCATTTTTTGAGGTTTACTTGATACACTCTCCATATTTTTTAATCCTTTGTTCATGAAAACAATAGAACAAAAGGATGTTAAAATTTTAAAAACAGTGAATACAGTGCTTGTAAGCTTGATTCTACATTTTTGCATGTTGCTGGACATACTTTATGGGAATAAGGAAATCAGTAGCTCCTCATCATGATGACTATATATTACCTCTGTGATGATTGGATAGCAGAACCATTGCTGAAAGCATGACAACTCAGGGCACTTCCTTCCAATTTATATTTCAGAGGGAGGAGGGGCCTGAAGAGAGAGATTTGGGACGATAGGACTAAGGGAGGCTCAAGCATAGGAAAACCTTCATTTATCAGAGCAGTATGTGAGAATATACAGGAAAAGGAGGCTGTTCCTATTATATCTCAGACAAACCAAATGGGCAAAAAATTGCCAGTTCTCCTGCAGGAACCCATGTATGGGCTGTGTAGACAGAGAGAAAAAGATCAATTTTGAATTAATAGGAAGTGGATGGTACTATGCCAACTTTAAAACTGCCTGTTGCATTGACTCCAGCTGGTATCTGGCTGCTATTTCAGTCTCATGGCATCAAGTAATTTGAAGTGCCATATGAGCACTAGTGCCCTGCTATTCTTTCTACCCCTAAAAGTGGGACTGTAAACTTTCTGCTTGGCTAACAAAATTATTTTAATTGTATTTCAGTGCAAAGCAAGCTGAAAAAGGGAATGGAACATTCAAACATAATTTGAATATTAATTCTGAAAGACTGCATACATTTTTAAATATTTTCCTTTTAGACAAGGTATCACTGATGAACATACATGCTTTCATGGTGAGAGTTTTGGTGCCATAAAAAATATTCACTGAATCCTGCACTCTAACAAAATAAAGATGATGATGCAATAATTAGGCGAGGCACTTTGTTCCCATTTGGCTGTTCTGTGGCCAGCAGCGCTTAGCAGTATTGAAATATCTCATTTTAATTTTTAAAAAAGTATTGCAACTTCCAAAATAAACATAGCAAATTACATAGAAGAATTATTAATAAACCATATATTCAGAGCTCTGTAGCCAGCTGCAATTAAGTTTCTTTTCATATGATTTCTTTTTAAAAAAAAACATTGTTAGCAACATAATTGCACTAGTCCTGATGCAATGCCAGCAGCAAGCAATTACAAACAAAAACAAAAAGAAAATTAAACATTTCTGAATAGCAGGAGAGGCATCTACAGTTTCCTTTCTAAACAAGTGCTGTGTGGTTGCTTGTATTAGTGCACTAGAAGAGTGCATAGCTATTTAAAAAAAAAAAAAAAAAAAATAATGGAGGCAGTTGGAGGCACATATTGCTCAATGGATACCTGTGACAGTTATGTAGTGAAATATAGCAAAAGTAATAATGGCAGGGGAAATCAGCATCTTTCCAGTCATAGACGTCATCATTAGAATATTAGGGAGGGAAAGCGTCCTCTTAATAGATCTACTATGATCTGCCCCCTGTCCACCAAATGAGTATTAAGTGCATAAATGTTGCATAATAAATTAATCATCAGTGAGGTCATAGAATTTATATATTTGCCTTATATCCCAGGAAAAATATTCAGTAGAAACTGAGATGGGTTTAATTTTGCTTCTGTTTTCCAAATATGGCAGAAGATGTCAGTGTTCAAGAATTCTCATCTGCTGCATGTAGAATTTGCATAGAATCCATGATGCAGGATAACAGTTACAGAGGATTTTTTTTTTCTATTTCTAGTGAGCAGATGAGCAGATGGGAACTGGTGTACCTTTTATTTCAGCTTTTCTTACTCAGCTTTGTGCTTCCTCCTCCTCCTCTTCCTCCTTCTTCTCTATTTTTTAATGGTTACTCCTCCTCTACCCTCACCCCAGTCCCAATGCATATATTAAAGTCCCATTAGTCATATAAAAAAGTAATATTCACTATATATCAACTTTTCCTTCCTTCCTTTCTTCCTTTCTTCCTTTCTTGGAAGAGCTTGCTTCCAGACAACTGGAACGCAAATCACATGTGTGGCCTTTCCTCTTCTTCATCCTGAATCTCTTCTCTGGAGGGTCCCCGGATTCGAATACTCTCATGTTGAGGTTGGAACTTATTTTCTGTCTCCCTAAATATTAGATATAAAAGGAAATTAATTTCAGTGGACAGTTATTTTTTATTAAAAATAGTTATAATAATGATTCATTACTTCAGAACATTTAGGAGGACAGCTATATTAGTCTATGGTAGCCAAATGAAGCTCAAGCTCAGATATTTTGGTCACCTAATGCAAAGAG